GGGCTGCCAGCAGGTTCAGGCTGATCTTCCCAGAAGGCTGGTCCCGCCTGGCTGAAAAAAAGCTGCTGGCTGTTATCAACACACAGGAGCGTTGCATCACGTTTGCTTTTCGCACGGGGCAAGAGTCGAGGGAGCAGCTGAGTCACCTGGCTTGCCTGCACCAGCTGAGGGATCTCGGGGGTTAGAGCCTGCATGGAGGAGGTGGCCGCCAGCACCAGGGCAACAGCGCCAGTCGCAGTTCAGCCGAGACCAGCGCCGCGCAGGCAGCTCCCCACCGTGGCAAGCGCTAGGAGCGCAGGCGGGCAGGAACAACAGCGGCGTTGGTTGGCTTCATTTCGCTCCTTCCACCACAGCGTGGCAGACAAAACAGGGATCTCCTCACCCTGCGTGGCACATCTTGCAAAACCAGGTCCTGGATGTTAGTGTGTAACTGCTCCTCCTTCAATAATCACCCCTACAGTGGGCGGCGTGCCTGCTCCCTGCTGCAAGAGCCTCTACGCAGATGTCGGGGAAACATCAAGCTATAAAATTAATTTTGTTCCCTTGATACCCAAGAGCCAGCACTGATGTTTGCTGCCTTGGTGAGAAAACACGTGGGCTTATCAGGAGAACCAAGACACCTTTGCTAGCATCACTCAGACCTCAAGGTGCGGTCCCAGCCCGGTAAACCCTCTGGCACAGCGGCTTCTCTCACGCTGGTTTGGAGGGTCCTTTGCCCCCCCGGGGCGCTCTTCCATCAGACAGGTGAAAGAAAACACCCTGATCTACCAAACAAGCATCCTGCCAAGCCCAGCTCTACACAGAGTGAGCCGTCAAGCAGAGGGATCAGTTACAAAATAAATCTGTCACTTGTTCTACACTGATTATCTCAAGAGAGTGTTAAAAGCCTTTATCACCAACATTTGGTTCACCCAGCAGCTGTGCAGCTCGCGCCGGGGGCCTGCCACGTGCCCGGCAGCTCAGCACACACCACGTGCTCTGCTCCGGATGGGCTGACACCGAACCCAGATGCCACCGACCCACCTCTTGCGCTGCTCCAGCTCCCAGTCCAGGCGGGCCAGGGTCTGCTGGTGGGGCTCAGACAGGGTGATGGCAGGCCGGCTGATTTCGGGGGGAGCCTCTTTGTAAAACTCCTCCAGGCTCACCAGTTCAATCTCCTCATGTTTTGACCTGCAAGGACAGATGGATCAGATCAGGGGAGGGTGGGAAGTGCTGCAGAAGGGCCGAACTCAACCACGTCTCACAGGAGAGTGGACAATGCCGACACCCCGTGCCCTGGCTTCACTCTGCTATGGGAGCCGCCACAGAATCAGTGAGCTGAACCGCAGCAAGGAGAGAAAGGTCTGAGCAGGGTCCTCTTTTCACAGAGACACCCTCCCTGCAGTTAACCAAAGCACTGTTTGAGACATCAGTCTAAATACAGCCCCTGGCAGCAGCAGCTGAGTGCTGCCCATGCAACGAGCACAACAAAGAGTTTGGCTTTTGGAAGAAAGTCCTGATATAGAGAGGCCAGAGTGACCACATCTTTGACATTTACCTACTTTCCCCTCTGCTGTCCCTCTACCGCAACAGATGCCTTCTTCCCTACGTAAGCCTCTTCCCCCGTGTCCCAGCAGAAGAACTCTGGGACACTCTGTCTCTCCTGTGTGGTGGCATCTAGAGCACCTGTTCTCCTCCCGCAGCGGGCTCAGGCAATGTGGCAAGAGATCCCAAACATTTGAGGGCTCCAGCCCACCTCAGACACACTGTCCCTCCCCCTCCTCCCCGGCCAAACTCACTTGAACTCCAGGCATTTGGTGATCTCTTTCTGTAGGTGCATCACCTCGTAGAGCAAGTTCTGGAGCTGCAGGTGATACGCGTCGACCTTTTGCTTTGCCTGAAACACCGACACGAGCATGAAGCTCTGTGACCTTCCTCCCAGCAAACACACCTCGTAAGAGAGTCACTAATACACACGCCCCTCACCATACCAGCTAGCAATGGTAGGTTTTAGGGTATGCAACAATTTTTGGGGGGGTAAAAAGACATTTTCAAAGGCTGGGAAAGCAAACTCTCATCACACCAAACTGATTCTGCTCTGGAAGCAGCATGTTTTGGGGACAAGGCACAGAACAGGGCAGATGTGCTGGGGCACAGAGTCCCCTCCTGTCCCTGTGCCTTGGTTTCTTCAGCAGTACAAAGAAAACGAGCATAAACTGTGAAAAGCTTCTCTGAGATGTCTCAGTAAGGAGCTTCGGGGCCAATTCTATAAACATTTCTCAGGCTTGCAGCAGACTCTTGGGCCAGAGCTTTCTGACTCCCCATTATATCCGAGGCAGAAGCAGGCACCACTCTTTCATCATTCATTATAATTCCAGCTTCCACTTCATCGCAGCGCAGCCTCCTGATAAGCCTCCAATTCAAAAAGCACAACCTGGCTGGTATCCAGTTCCTCTCACACATCCATACACAGACCAGGCAAAAATGGCACCATCTCCAATCCCACTAAATCCCGACCTGTATTCGTCCCCACCCCCGCCAGCCCCGGTGTACCTCGTGGGTTTGATCTCTCCCTTTCTTCAGCCGGATATGAGCCAGCCGGTTGAGCTTCTTCAGGGTCATGAAGTGGACGCAGCTCTGTATGCGCCGCTCGTCTATCTCCGAAGCCTGAGTGGCAGGAGAGAAGAGTTTGAAGCAGGACAGACGACAGGCACCGCAAAGCCCCTTTGCTGCAGGGACTTCCTGCAAGTCCTGTCACAAAGGGGGCTCTGGCTTCACTAAGGAACCACAATGAATGTCACCGGGCTTTCCGAGGGAGCCTCCCACTGCCAGACTCACAGGTCATGCCCTGGAAATAACTCGGGGGGGGGGGTTCAGGCTCACTCCAGTGATTTTTCTTGGTGGTAGGAACAGAGGTGTTTTAGACTGAGGCGCCCACCCCGCCGTGCAGACAACAGCATGGGCAGCCACTGCACAAGCCCTGCCCAGCCACGGCCACGGCTGCCGGGCCTCTGGGGGACAGTGAGAGCTCAGCCACCCCCACTGCAGCCAGGAGGGGTTCAATTCCTCCCTCCCCAAGCCCCCAACCCATCAACAAAATCCGTCAGGAGCCCAGACACACTTTAGAAGAACTTGGTCTGCATGTCTGCTCAGACAAGACCAATGCCTCAGCTAAACCATATTTTACTTTATTTAAGGGAGGTTGTTCCATTTTCCTGACTCTCCCCAGAAGATAGTGCAGCTTCTACTCCCGTTCCTCTCAGATTAAGGGAAAATATCAAAGAACAGAGCACATTAAACCAAGGATCGAGGTTTCTCCTTACATTGTCCTTGATGCCTCTGCTCTTCAGCTCCTGGATTTCTGCCATAAGTCTCTGAAGCTCCTGGCAAGTCTCTCTGTAGAGTTCGTAGTCTTTGATAGGGTCGCGGAGATCCACCTCGCACTCCTCACTGTAATACCTAACATCCTGCCAAGGCAGAAAGCACCATCTACAGCTCCATCCTTCCACCTTCTCTGGGAAGGGAACTGGGAAACAAACTCCTGGCTCTGTCCATTAATCCCACGCCCAAGGAGATTTTACACAGCAGAGAGAACTCTGTTAACAATCCCAGACTCAAACACCACCAGGCATTAAAATACCTGGGAAGTTTAGAGTGTCTTTTAGATAGTTATTATAAATTTAAACTGGTATCTATCCTGCACAGGTGTATCAACATGACTACAGGGGATAAACCGGGAAGGATGACCACTTCTTCAATCCCTATCCCTGCTTTGGCTGGACCCAGGTTCCCCTGCTGCTCGCAGGAGTGTTTTAAGGCAGCCTGCAAACCCCCAAGGGACCTTTCAGCCTTGTGCTCACTCTCCCCACATCTCCAGAGGAGTGTTTGACTCCTTCAGCGCTGTGTTTCCCGAAGGAGATGGAAGCAGGTTCAGAAATTCAGAGTGGGAGTCTGGGAGGCATCGGGACCTGGCTTGGCTCTGGGAGAACAGTCTCACAACTTCCCAAGGGGGAGGATAATGCCAGCGAAGGGCAGGTGTGAGAAGAGCCCTTCGCGAGGCAGGACCGAGCACCGTGCTGCAGCAGCCAGGGGCCCTACCTGCTCGGCATCAGCCTTGCCCCGCTTGCCCTCCTGTGGGCCCCCGTCCGTGCGGATCACTTTGGGTTTCCTCTTCTTGCTGGAGTCCGACGACATGGCGCTGCCAGTCAAGGACTGGGGAACGAGAGGCAAAGCCGTTGTCCGTGGCGGGAGGGGGCGGCCGAAGCCACCGGGGCCACCCCGCGCTCCCTTCCGCCAGCCCCCCCCGGGCCCAGCGAGCCCCAGCGCCCCCGCCCCGTCCTCCCAGTCCCAGGCCTCCTCCCCACCAGCTTCCCCCCCGGCAGCTCTGGGACCCCGACCACACCAACCCCAGCGGCCTCAGCTGCTCCGGAGCCCCTCTCCCCGACCCCCCAACACACCGGGCCCGGGGGTCTGTGCCCCACCGGAGCCCCCCGGGACCGGGGACGGGGCCCCCCCCGCTCACCCCTCCGCTCCCCTCAGCGCCGCCCGGAAATGACGCCAGCGGAGCAAAGCGCGCGGCGCAGAGCGGCAACGGCCAAAAGGCGCCCCCTAGCGGACACCCCCCATCCGGAGGACCGCGAGCAGCGGGGGGTGTGGTATCCTGACGGGGCGTGGCTTGCGGTGAAGGGGCGTGGTCAACGACACACACCCCCACCCCCCCACACCCTGGGGGGGCCACGCGTGGGCTCCTGGTGACGAAGGGCACCCGCAGGCACAGGAGGGCAGCCGTGGGCATGGGGGAGGCACGGCGCGGGGTCCCCCGTGGCACCCAGGGGATACCCTAGTGCATCACAGCACCCATGGGTGCCAGGGGCCCCCCCCCCTCAGTGTCACCCATGGCACGGCGCAGGGTGTCCCCCTGGGTGGGACCAGGTTGGGGGGTTTTGCTCCCCATGCCAGAGGAAGCGAGTGCCCCCCAGCGCCACCCCCCCCGCCATCCCCCCTCCCCATAGAGCCAGGCGTTGGCATATTAAATATTTAATTGGCGATGTCCTGCAGTCAGGCAGGCTCCCGGCGGGAAAGGCACCCATGGGGCCCATCAGGAATAATTAAGACACATACACCCCCCCAACCTCTGCAGCCTGCTCAGCCCCCCCGGGGGCAGCTTCATCCCCTGTCATGCCTGGGGACCTGCAGGAGGATACTGGGCTCCCACCCTTCCCCTCCCCAGCTGCACACCCCTCCCCGCTGTCATCCCCCACAGGGCACCCCAAAATGGGGTGGAGGGGGGTGGGGGGAAGGAAAGCTGGGAGCTATGGGGGAGCAGATACCCTCCCCCCACCCCCCAGCAGGGCTGGGGTGCAGGCAGGGAGCGAGCCCCTCCAAGCACAGGCAGACGCCCCGGCGCAGAGCTCCGCTCACTGCAGGGGCGAGATCTTCAGGGGAATCATTATCCGCGACTCCATGGTCCGGATCAGCGGGACTGGAAAAGGAAGAGAGGGAGAGGTGAGGGCAGGGGGTCCCCAACATGCACAGGGGTTCCCAGTGCGGGCAGGGGGGTCCCGCTCACCCGTGTAGTACACGTTCTCGTCCCAGCCCCGTTTCCTCCAGGCCGCGTTCCTCGTCTCCTCTCGGGACTGCAGGTCCTTGTAGGCTGCAGGGAGGGGACAGGGCTGACACCTAGAGCCCCCCACCACCACCACAGCCCCCACGGGATGGGGGGACACGGGTGGCGGGGAGCCCACTTACCCCAGAGGTGGTGCACGACATACAGCTCCCCGATCTGGGAGAAGAACCCACCAACTGCCTCCTGGTTCTCCTGCCGGTACTTAATAGCCCGAGCCCTGGCATGCAGCGGGAGAAACACGGAGGGGGGAGTTGCCTGAGGGGCTCCCCCTGCTCCAGGGGGACCTTTTCCCACCTTGGCTCCCTCCATGCTGAAAAACAGTTGCTTACCAGTTGTTGCCCCATTCAATCATGGTCCCTGGCTGGAAATAGAGAAAAAAAATAAACCAGTGAGCAGCCAGATCTCACCTGCTCTCTCTGCTTGGCGTCTCCTCACCAAAGAGGAAGGAGTTTGGGGAGCTGCTCCCCAAAATATCAGGCAGAAACCCCCCCACCCCAGGGGGATATCAGCCTGAAGACTGCCCCAAGGCATGGGCTGGCCCCCCACGGCGGCTCACCTTCAGCTTGTAGGTCCTCAGCTCGTAGATGTTGGGTCCCTGGCGGGGCAGGGGCTCGTTCCAGAAGCTGAACTCCAAGAGCAGCTGGTTCCTGCGGGACAGCAGCATCCGGCTCCTCTCCTTGCGGAAGTCCAGGTACTCCTGGGGACAGCCCCAGCCAGGGGTTTCGGGGTGGGAGCGAGCGTGACTCGGGCCAAGGGGGTCAGGCAGAGGCGAGGGGCAGAGCTCGGGCAGCTCGCCCCGATCCCGGTGGTACCTTATTCTGCTTGAGCTTGTTCATGCAGTCCATGAGGGCCGGGTACCCGCCCGAGAAGCGCCAGAGGTGCACTGGAAGGACAGCACAGGGCTGGGGAGGGGGGGCAGCTCCCACCCCTCTCCTCCTGAGTGGCAGCCAGTCCCCAGCCCAAGCCCAGGTCCTCGCCCTCAGCCCCTCCGGCAGCAGGGGCACCGGGAGCCGCTGCCTGCCTGCCCTCACCTGCCTGGTCCTGCTCGCCGTACCACGTGTTCCAGTTCCCCACCAGGTCACAGGGATAGTCGGCGTCTGAGTGGAGCTTGGGCAGCACCTCCTCTCTGCGGGGGCACAGGAGGGGCAGATGGGGAGGGGGGCAGCCACGCCCAAACACTCCTGATACTCCCATTTGCTCTCCCAGCCCAGCACGAGGTGTGTGGGCATGGAAGAGTCTGCCTTAATGGTGTCCTGGAACAGCCCCTGGAGGGTGCACCCATTTCACAGGGAGGGAAACTGAGGCAAGGAGCAGGGCCACAGACCCACCCAGGGTCTTGAGGAGCTCTGCACGAGCCCTCCCACCCCCTTCACTCCAGAGCAGCACCCCAGCACCCCCATTGGGATGCTGGGCAGCTCCCTGACATGCGGCAGGGCTCACGTCAGGCTGTTGTAGGTATCCAGGCACTCCGGCTTCACGCTGTGAACTGCGGGGAGAGGAGAGAGGGGCTGCCAGGGCGAGAGTTGAAGCTCCGGGGGGGGGGGGGGGTGAACCCAGAGCAGTCAGGGGGGTCCCTGTGGGTGAAGAGGGGCCAGCACAGCAGCGTTCACCCCCCAGCCCCACAGGGCCACTCACACTGGATCTTGTAGAGGTTGCTGGTCTCCTTTTTGGAGAGGAGGTTGGAATGGGCATCCTTGCGGGGATCCACTTTGTGCACGAAGAGGGAGCGGAACCAGCTGCCCTCCGTATCCCTCGAGTACCCCCTGTGAGACAGCGGGTCAGTGCGGGGGGAGCGCCCCGCCGACACCCCCTCGCTGGGGGGAAAACGCCGGCAGCTCTGCCCGGGAATGACCAACTACAGAGCAAAACGGGAACCAAAAGCCATCCTGCTGATCCTGCCTTCCCGGCTCCCGCATCGTCCGGCTGCCGGGGAGCACCGTCCATCCTGGGGGGGCTTCTCTGGGTTTCCTTCAGTTCATCTCGAGGAGGGGGGGGGGGGGGGGGGGGGGGGGGGGGGGGGGGGGGGGGGGGGGGGGGGGGGGGGGGGGAGCCGAGGCACAGCAGCAGCGCCTGGCTCGTTTTTGTAGGGGTACGTGGGAAAAACGAAAGCCCCGGCTCTCCCCACCCGGGGCTGCGCGGGGAGGTTTTTGGCCCACGCTACCCTGCCCGGAGCTGGGGCAGCGACCCCGCCCCGCGGTGGGGCAGCCCCGGCACCGGCCCGGCCTGCGCCAGGGGCCCCTCCGTCCCCCGGACCTTTGCCCGCCAGGTGAGGCATTAACAACCGGGCTCCCGCCCGCCTGGCGCCGCGCCAGGGCCCGGGACCCGCCCGCCGGAGGGAACCGGGGAGGGGGAACGCGGCGTCTGAGGGGACAAACAGGCCTGGAGGAGGAAGGGGAGGGGGGGACGGGGGAAGGAATCGGGGGGGCGGGGGCCGTCCCCCGCTCACCGCGCTCCGCCGGGGGCCCCGCCGCCGCCCCGCCGCAGCCGCCGCAACGCCGCGCTCCCGCCAGCCCGCGCCGCCGCCATCTTCCCCCCGCAACGGGGCGGGGCTATTCGTAACCCCGCCCACTCCTCCCGGCCACGCCCTCCAGGGGCGTGGCGCCCCCCCCCCCCCCCCCCCCTCAGAAGCTGGCCTGGAGAAGGGTGATTCTGATTGGCCGGCGCGCCCCGCGGCCGGCCACACCTTCTCGCTCCGAGCCCCGCCCACTCGTCCCCGCCCACCGCCAGCGCGAGGTCTCATTGGCTGCCGGCGGGGAGGCGGTGCCCTGGGAGGTCAGGGCCTCATCGACGCTCTCGAGAGCCAGCAGCCAATCAGAAGAGACAGTTGGAGAGAGCGGTGTCTGATTGGCCGCGGCGTCTTGCTCCGGAGGGGGCAGCTGCTGGTTGGGCGCTGCTCCCGGGGGGCGGAGCTCTTGCGGGCTCCTCCCTAGGAGAGGCGGGGTCAGGATGGGGCGGGGCCGGAGCTCGCGGGGGCGGGGCCGGGGCCGGGGCCCACCTGCGGCGGCGCCGGCGCCCACGGGGACCCGCTGCGGCACCCCCCGCGTGTCCTCCGTCCCGCAAGGACCCTTCCGGGCCGGGGCCTCCTCCTGGGGTGGGGGGGAGACGGTGGTGAGGTCACGGGGCACCCACTGCTCCGTCCTGCCCCATTACCCTCCCACCTCATAGCCCCTCTCCCCCCACAGCCCTGCCCCACAATTCCCCCAGTACCTGCCCCCCCCAATATCTCACTCCCCAGTGCAAGTCCCGGGGGTGCCGCAGTGCTGGCTGGTGTTCAGGGCACCCCATGCCCCACCCCAGCACCCACAGCCAGCCCCTGGGGAGCAGGGATTGGGGGGGGCAGGACAGCGGGACAGGACAGGGTCACCAATGCTGGGGGGGGGGGGTCACTGGAGGGGCTGGGAATTGGGGTCTCTATGGGCATTAGGTTCCCCCAGGGGAGGGTGTGGGGCTCCCCCTGGAGCGCCCTACCCAGCCCTGGGGTGTTTGGGGTCCCCCAGGTACTCTGCTGTGGGGGTAATGGGACCCCCAGGATCCCCCCATGGTGTGGCACAGGGATCTTTGAGGCATGGAGGTGCCATCCTGGCTAGACCCCTCAGCTGCTGCTTCTGAGGGCACTGTGGCACCCACCAGCACCCGTGGTGCACACCAGCACCCACAGGACCCTGGGGCAGAAGGTGTCAGAGCAGCTTGGAGGGCACCCGGGGTTAGGTAGGGGGACAGGGGTCCCTACTCCAACCACCCCCAGTCCCCACATGCCACAGGATGGGAAGGAGAAGACTGGTTTGGGGGTCACCCTGGGGAGGGAAGGATTAAACGGAGGGGTCACATCCCCCCTGTGCTCCCCCTCCAAGCTCACCTTGCTGGGGGGCAGTGAAGGGACCAGGGAGCGGTGAGAAGAGGGCAGGGCAGTGTCCCCCAGCTCCTCACCCAGAGGGCACAGGGAACACCAGCCAGGGGGGTGGGTGGGCAATGGGGGTGAGGGGGGACCCTCACTCTGGCATTCCTGGGGCATCTGCAGGGAGAGGGAGTAGGGGGAGCTGGAGGAGGAGGGAGAAAACAGGTGTTAAAAGGTTAACTCTCCCCCCAAACTCTCTCCCCAATGCCCCCAACCATCTCCTGTCCCCTTCAATCCCCCAAACCTCCCTCAACCCCACAACTACCCAGTCCCTCCATGCCCCCCCCATGGACCCAGGCCCCCTGTGCCCCCCTGTTCCCCAGCGTGCCCCCCTGGTGCCCCGCTCACCCGGGAAGGGGTGACGCGCCCCGGCGCAGGGCGCAGACCCAGGTGTTCAGCTCCTCGGGGGTCTCGGCCCCCAGGCAGTACGTTCGCATCCCGGGGTGCTCGGCCTGGGGATTGGGGGGGGGGGGGGGGCCATGGTGGGGAGGACCCAGGCATCCCAGCCTTGTGTCCCCCACCCAGAGCACCCCCAGATCCGGGGACTCAGGGGGTCAGGGCTTACCGTAAAGAGGAAATGGGGGGCGCGGGGGGCGGGGGGCAGGACACGGATCTCGTAGCCGGGCAGGGGGACTCCTCCCCGCACTCGCTGCTCGCTGCTGTCTGGGGGGCAGAGGGGTGTCAGGAGGGATGAACCCCCAGGGACCCCATTGGCACCCCAAGACTCCCAGCGCCATCGAGGGATGCCAGGAACCTCCTCTGAGGCCTGCTGGGTGACCGCAAACCTCCCGGGGTCCCCCAGAACTCAGATCCCGCCCCCCAGTGACCCCTTCAGCACCCCAGGAACTCCCAACCGCCCCAGGACTCCTGACCCCCCTCAGGGATTCCTGATCCACCCAGGGACCCCAAGTCACCCAAGCTCCCCCTCACCCTCAGGGTGTGCTGCCTCCCCAGCCCCCCCAGCCCCCCCGGCCCCCCTCACCCCGGTAGTAGTACAGGCAGAGGTCGACCAGCACAAACCAGCGGCGCTTCCAGAGCCGCAGCCCTGAGCTGTCCTGGGGGAGGGGGACAGGGCTGAACCCCCCACAGCTCATCACTCCCCCCCCCGGAGCCCCTCCTGCCTCAGACCCCCCCAATCCTTGTGATCCCTCAAACCCCACAACCCTTAGCACCCCCTGCCATCCCAGATACCCCCAAACCCCATGACAACCCCCAGCACCCCACCCCACCCCAGACCCCCCCCCAACCCTCTCTGATCCCTCAAAACCCATAACCCCCCCAAGGATTCCCCCCAGCCCACCCCAAACCCATAGCCTCCCCCAGGAGCCCCCCAACACCTCAACCCCACAACTCCCTCTGATCCTCCCAACCTCATACCCCCCCAGTATCCCCCACTCGACCCCCCCAAACCCTGTGTGCTACCAGGCACCCCCCACCCCCCCAGACTCCCCCAAACCCCATAATCCCAACCCCCCCAACCACCATCTCAGACCCCCCCAAATTCCATAAGCTCCCCCCAATGGTCCTTACCTCAGCCCCAACCCCCATACACCCCCTTGGACTCCCCCCCAGCCCCCCCATTCCTGGACCCCCCCACCCCACCTGCTTGTGCAGCCAGCCCCGCAAGGCGGGGGGGACATGGGGGTCCCTGCGCAGCGCCTGCCCCCCCTTCCCGAAGGTGTGGATCCGTGGTACAGGCCGGCATGTCTGGGCAGGGGCTTCACCCAGAGCGGGGGCTCCGAGGGGGGGGACCCCCCAGACCTCCCCCTCGGACTGCCAGCCCCCCCTACCCCATTTCACCCATACACCCCACAATGACACCCCCCCCCCAGCTCTCCAGGGCTCCCCTGAATCCTCCTCACCCCCCATTTGTGCCCCTTAGGTACCCTTGGACCCCCTTGGCCCCCCCCATAGCTCCACATGGTCCCCCCAGCCCCCCTGAGCTCCACTGGGTCCCCCATGACCCCCCCTTACCTCCCCCCAGCTTCCCATGGCCCCCCAGCCCTCCTGAGCTACACTGGGTGCCCCACAGCTCCCCATGATAGTGCCCTCATGCAGCCCCCATGTTCCCCCCAGGCCCTCCATGCCCCCCCCTCCAATCCCCTTGGGCCCCCATGCCCTCCCACGCCTTCCCCGTAGCCTCCCCCCCCCCATCCCCCCCACCCCCCCGTACCCACCTGGGTGCCTGGGCCGTGGGTGCCAGCGGGGGCGGGGGCGCAGCGGGGGGGTTCGCTGCCGTCTGCCATGGGGGTCCTGCGGGGGGGGGGGGGGGCGGGGCGGGGGGACACCCCGTCAATGTCCCCATTGTCCCCGCGGGGACAGAGGCCCCGTTCTTCCCGCTGCGGGGGCGCCCGGGCTGGCGGGGGGGGGGGGGGGGGGCCGATCCCCGGGGGACGGGGGGGCTGCTCTGCTCACTGACCAGTGGGGGGGTCGGGGGGGGGGCTTCTCGCTTTCCCCCGTCTGGTCCTGCCGTCCCCTGCCCCGTGATGGTCCCAGATCCCCTCCCAGTAACCCTGAGCTGGTTCCAGTCCCATCCCGTTATCCCCGTGCTGCTCAGTGTCCCGTTCTCCCATTACCCCAGTACTGGTCCCAGTAAGTCCCATCTTCTCATCCCGGTGCTGATCCCAGTCCCATCCCGTTATCCCCACACTGACCTGAGTCCCAGTCCCGTCCTCTTACGCTGGTGCTGGTCCCAGCCTCCATCCCATCATCCCAGTGCCCGTCCCCATCCCTCGGTCCCAGTTTCATCGCTGCAGCACTGGTTCTGCTCCCAGTCCCGTCCCGTTACCCAGCGCTAGTTGCAATCCCAGTTCCAATCCCAGTCCCATACCGCTGTCCCACTGCTGGTCCCGGCCCCTGGATCCCAGTCTTGTTATCCGGGTCCCACTCCTGCCCTGCTTTCCCGGCGCTGGTCCCAGTCCGGTTACCCCGGCGCTGGTCCCCGTCCGGTTATCCCGGCGCTGGTCCCCGTCCGGTTACCCCGGCGCTGGTCCCCGTCCGGTTATCCCGGCGCTGGTCCCCGTCCGGTTACCCCGGCGCTGGTCCCCGTCCGGTTATCCCGGCGCTGGTCCCCGTCCGGTTACCCCGGCGCTGGTCCCCGTCCGGTTACCCCGGCGCTGGTCCCCGTCCGGTTATCCCGGCGCTGGTCCCCGTCCGGTTACCCCGGCGCTGGTCCCCGTCCGGTTATCCCGGCGCTGGTCCCCGTCCGGTTACCCCGGCGCTGGTCCCCGTCCGGTTACCCCGGCGCTGGTCCCCGTCCGGTTACCCCGGCGCTGGTCCCCGTCCGGTTATCCCGGCGCTGGTCCCCGTCCGGTTACCCCGGCGCTGGTCCCCGTCCGGTTATCCCGGCGCTGGTCCCCGTCCGGTTACCCCGGCGCTGGTCCCCGTCCGGTTATCCCGGCGCTGTCCCGGCGCTGGTCCCCGTCCGGTTACCCCGGCGCTGGTCCCCGTCCGGTTACCCCGGCGCTGGTCCCAGTCCGGTTACCCCGGCGCTGGTCCCCGTCCGGTTACCCCGGCGCTGGTCCCCGTCCGGTTACCCCGGCGCTGGTCCCAGTCCGGTTACCCCGGCGCTGGTCCCAGTCCGGTTACCCCGGCGCTGGTCCCCGTCCGGTTACCCCGGCGCTGGTCCCCGTCCGGTTATCCCGGCGCTGGTCCCCGTCCGGTTATCCCGGCACTGGTCCCCGTCCCGCTGTCCCGCTCTCCCCGTGCCGGTCCCGCCCCGGGCACTGGTCCCAGTCTCTGCCCCCACCCGCCCGGGGGCCGGACTGGGCAGCGCCCGCCCGGGGCGGGACGAGCCCCGGGTCCCTCCGGGAACGCCTAGGCGCTCCGCCACGGCCCCCGGGGCAGAGGGTTCCCGCGGGAGAGCACTGCTGTGGGGGGGGCAGCACCCACGTCCCCGCGTCACGCAGGGACAGCCCGTCCTGCGGGACACCCGCGGCGGCGGGGACACCCTCGGACCACGGACACCCGCGGATCACGGACACCCTCGGACCACGGACACCCGCGGATCACGGACACCCGCGGATCACGGACACCCGTGGCACCGCGGGACAGCCCAGCACGAAGGGTCCCGGCGCTCCCAGCCGCTGCCGGGTCCTAGTGCTCGCCTCCGCCCCGCTCACCCCCTCCTACGCATGCGCCTGGCGCCCCCGAGCCCGTCACGGCGCGGGGTGCCGGCCGCTCCGCCGGCCGCCAGGGGGCGCCACCACCCCGCCCCACGCCTCCCCTCCCGCCGCGCTGGAACGTGGCCCCGCCTCCTCCCTTTGAGCGGCGTTCACCCTTCTTCCAGTCACAGCCGCTCCCGCCCCCTCTCCTCCCTCGCAGGCTTTTCCTGTTGGCTGTGGCGCCGCGCGGGGGGCGGGATCAGGCAGGAACGGGCCCAATGGCGGTGCGGCGGGGGGGCGGGCGCAGCTCGGCGCGGCCCGGAGCGGCGGGGGCGCGAGCCCTCCCCGCCGCCATGGCGCTGCCGCCGCGCTGAGCCGTCTTCCCCCCCCCCCCCCCCCCCCCCCCCCCCCGCCATGGCCGGGGCCATCGCGTCCCGCATGAGCTTCAGCTCGCTGAAGAGGAAGCAGCCCAAGACCTTCACAGTGCGCATCGCCACCATGGACGCCGAGATGGAGTTCAGCTGCGAGGTGACGGCGGGGGGGGGCCGCGCTGAGGGGGACCCCCCCACACACACACACCCCGCCCCGCCTCTCCCGGCAGCCCCAAACGCGGCTGTGGGGCCGGGGGGGCTGCGGCCCGGTGCCCCACGGAGGGCGGCGGCCAAGTAGGGGGGGCTGCCACGCCGCCCGTGGGAGGCCCGCGGTCACGGGGAGACCCTCGGGGGGCCGCACGGGCGGGACACGGGCCTGTGCGCTTCAGCGTTGTCCCGGCTATACCGCCGCTTTGTCTTCTTGGTTCTAATTCCGCCTCGTTCAGCTTTGTTTTGCCGTCGCAGCTGAAGCCGCCCGCCCTCAGCACCGCGGCTGTTGTGAGGAGCCCGGGGCTGGAATCCACGAGGGTCCAACTCAGAGCACTCAACAAACGCGCACGAATGACATTTTCACGAGTTATAAGCCGAGCTTCCAGGGTGAGGGGTGCTCCAGGGGGGTTGTGTCTGGGTGCCTGCCCCAGTGGTGTCTGGTTTTTCTCTGATACTTCAGTTTTTTGGGCCCTCGGTCATTAGATGTTCTCCCCCTGGGGCAGTTGCTGTCAGGCCCCAGGGGTGTGGTTTCTTGTTGCTGCATTTTCAGCTGATTTAGAGGGATTGGATGCACAAACGTTGCAAGCCACCTCTACCCAGTTTAACTTTTATACTTAATAGTTTATATTTCATCCATCTGATCCAAATCGTGATGGCATTCCAATGCCCATAAGCCGAGGGGTGTTTGTCATCATAAATTTTCTTGCTCTTGAAATCTGTTGTCAGCTCTGAAGAACTTTCTGCCTTTCCCAGGGATTAGGGATTTATTTTAGACAGTAGTTGTGTGAGCTTCCCACTGCCAGGAGAGTTTAAGTGTCCTGGCTTCGTTCTTGCATGTTTTTCCGAGGCTGCCAGTAATAACACATGATGAAAAGTAAATAATTCTTTTTTTTTTCAGTGGTGCGGCCACTTGTTGTTTCATGTTGAGATTAGGATGTTTGCGCAGTGGGAAGGCAATGCTCTCAGGTGGGATTTGGCCATGCAACTTGCGCATCTTCGGATGACTTTTTGGGGGAGGTTCCTGCCAAAAAAGCTTGTCGCTGCAGATGGACTTCTCCAGCCCTTCTGGAAGCACAGGAAGGAGCTCAGGAGCTGCGTGTACGACCCTGCTCATGTCTCCTGTCAGAGCTGGTGCACCGGGGACGTGTGGGGGACTTCAGGCATTGCCCTTCAGCACAGAGCACTCAGGTGGAGAGGAGGGAAGTAGCTGGATGCCGGTGGGTGATGGGACTGTTTCACACCATGCTTGGTGCAGGCGAGGTGTTTTATTTAAGCGCAGGGCAACTCAGCTTGGGGCGTGTGTTTTATTTAAGCTTTATTCAAGCAGTCCTGCTCCCTGGCTGCATCTCTGCCTCTGTCTTTGTCTCACAGTTGCACAGCTCTGGGGAAAGCTCCGTGGCTTGCTGACTCGGCAGAAATGCACCGAGCCCAACACCTGATGTTGTAGACAGGTTGGTCACACCCTGCGGCCTCCAATCACCAGGGCTGATGTGAGGGAGGGGACGGGGAGGTGGCCCAGGGCAGGGCTGGGCTTGGTCCTTGCTGCGGCAGCCCGTGGTGAGACCAGGAACCAGAAGCTTGCTCCTGCGGTGGTCTCGGCTGCTCCGCCTGAAAATCGAAGGGGTGGGAGAGTCGATGACCTGGGGAGGACCGTGCTCCTCCCCGAAGGCATCTGGCTCCTGGCCGAAGATTTGCTGGGCTGAGGCCCTGGAGGGGTGAGGTGAGAGAGGGGCGAACAGCACCACATTTGCCCAAGTCTCTGTGTGCACGTTGATGCGGTAGGTTTCTTTGGATGGGAAGGAGGACAGCTGACCCAAGCAGGAGGCTGGGGAAGGAGAAACCTGTGCTGCACAAACACTCTTTAGAGGATTAGTGGAAGGAGGTGCAGCGGGATTCTTGCTGTCGTGCTGTTTGGGGGGGCTCTTGAGATGTGTTTCAGTGGCCTGTGAATGGTACTTCACGCTGACAGGGATGGAGAGCTGATGGCTTGTTGGAGGTCTTGTTGGTAGCCTAATCCTGGGAGCACACTACTCCCTGCCGAGCTGGGCAGGGGGAACTGCTGCTGCCTCTTGGCTTCTCCGGCCTGTGCTTGTCCCCTGCCTTTCTGCCGCTGCTGCTCTCCAGCCACAGGCACCTCCTGGCTCCACTGAGGGAATGAGCTGGCGGTTCAGCAATTCCTCGGTGAGGCCAGTAGTCCTGAGGCTGTACCTCAGCTTGGGTTTTGTTCCATACCTGATGTGCTGGAGCCTGCTCCCTGCCTCATGCTTCAAACCCCACAATAAATAGCAGCCGAGCAGGCTGAGGAAGGAGTGCAAGAGTGTTTTGCTGCCTAATCCACACTGACACCTCAGCTTCACCCCAGGTTGCCCATCCTAACGGCCTTGCCAGGGAGCCCTGCTGCCTGCTCGGCAGCCGTCTGGGGAACGCAGTTTGCTTGAGCCTCAGGAGCTGTGAGGTGGATGTTCGGAGCAGGGTGGAGCAGCGAATTGCTGCTCCTTCCTGCACCTTCCATGTGCCGAGGCAGTGGTCCAGGCAGAGCAGGCTGATTTCTGTCATCCTGCTGTGCTGTCTTGTCATGCCCTTGGTCCCATCCGCTTTCAGAAGTTCCAGTCCTCCCTCCACCCTGTTGCAAATCGCCACCGCTCATCTCTGTGCCCTACCTCTGTGCTCCCAGCCTTGCTCTGAGCATTACCACGTTGCTTTCTCCCTGCTTTTCCTTCTCCAGAAGCTGGACGCTTGGCTGGTGAGTGGTCTGGGGTGTGTGTGGCCGTTCTGGGGAGGCCGATGCTACGCGTGCTGATCTTCAGCATAGCTTAGCTGGTGGCTTCCTGCACGGGTATTGATCGCATCGCTGGTAAACACGTTTGAGCGATCAACACTTTGCTGTAACAGCTTTTCTGTGTGGGATTAATATAACTGATGGCTTTTCTTTAAACTTTATACCAGAGCTCTTGAGGTGTGTTCTGTGTTGTCGTGGGTTAGACTTCCCAGCCCCGCTGTGCAGGACAGAGGCGACGTCCTTACCTCAAGGTAGTGACGGCGGAGGCCTGAGACCTCAAGGCTGACCAGGCAGCTGGAAATGGTGGAGGCCACGGGGTGTGAGACCTGGCAGCGATGGCCAGGCTGTGCGGGTGAGCAGCTGGGGCTGGCGAGGGCTGCCCCGGCCCTCGAGGAGAGCGTGCGGAGCTCCTGGGAGATCTGAATCCCTAACCTGCTCTGGGGTGATGTGATGGCTGGCTCTCGGGGCTGGGCTCAAGGTTGCTCGGTGCAAACTGTAGAGCCCCAGCTCCTGTCCCAGCAGTCCCTCTCCAATGCCGCTGTAGCTGGCGGGGGACCTTAGTTTTCTGTGTTAATTTTTCAATCTACCCTGTAGAAATTCCCAGCAGAGTATTTGAAGAGATTAAACCTGCTTTGCATCTGTTTACTCTGCAAATGATGTCTCTAAATTGAGCCTAAATCTAAAATAATTCATAGAAGTGAAATCTTAATCTTTCTAACATGGCGATGAAGCTTAATAATCACAGTTGGGGGTTTCACTTTAAAGACTTATAATTTGTTTGGGGAAATCTTGAAGGCACAAAGTGAGTGTCTTCCTTTTTGTTACTTCTATCACAGCTGTTTGAGCCTGGTACCTAATTAATTGATAGCATCTTGAGGAAGGATAGACGTTTGCATAGCTCTTAAAATCCCCATCTTAAAGCAATCCCTAGCTGCCCTGCCTTCCCGAGAATGCCCTCAAATAGCCCTGCGGTCCCTCAGCTTTCTGTACTTGGAGAGCAGCACCAGAGAAATCTTGTTGAAAGACGTTCAATGTTGGTGTTCTCCTGCGATTAACACCGCGATAGGCGGTACGCTGCTTGAGTACTGATTTGGGAAGCTATTTGAAGTGGCATTAGTGTAAAGCAGAGCTTGCCAGGGTGTGGTACTTGCACTGATGGCTTGATGTCAGTTTGGAGCACAGTGCCAGGAGCCTGCTGTGCCTGATGGTTTCCTCTGCCGTTGCCACCCCGCTGGTGCAACTTGCTGACGGTGACCCCTAACTAAATAAAGTAGTCGATGTGGCAAAGGTAATGTGATTTTGGTGCTGCCTCTCTAGATGAGGTAGTTAGTTATCTGTTATATATATGTCCTGTCATAACATCTTAAAATCTCATGGTGTTTCTGAGTTGGTGTCTTCCAAGGCATCCTGTCCCTCTGGCAGAAGGGTGGTGGTGTAGTGTGGCTGGTGTCAGGTTGGTCTCATGCACCCCGATGTGCAGGTTTTTTTCCTCTAGGAAACAAGTTCCCTGGTTGATAGGAGAACCCATCAATCTTTTTTTTTGGTCTTGTGCATGTCTCTGCCCATTTCTTCCTCTTGCTGTAGTCAGCTGGATTAGTGGCTCTCCGTCTCCAGTGCCACAGCACCTTTTCTGAAGGGTGTGTTTTTTCTTTAGCTCTTTCTATCGTGCCCATGATCTTGGGCCTATAACTCCTGCAAGGATGGTTATTCCACTGAGGTGCAGCTAGCCACCCAGCTGCTTCCTGACCTTAATCTTTTCACAGCAGCAGCTTCTGCGGGTCTCAAGTTAAAAATGAATGGAAAAGCTTTACAGGCAACCTAGAGAAACAGCTTAAGTGTTCAAGCAGCAGGAAGAGGCAAGTTTGGACCAATATATTTGCTGGTCTAAATGTACATCCTGTTACTGCTTCGATGCTTAAACTGTTCTTCTCTGCCCAGAGAATAATCTTGGTTGGAAGGGATCTTTTTAGCCCAGCACTTCACTCAGTGCAGGGCCAGTTGGATGAGGTTGGTTGTAAAACTCTTCTGTTCGCTTGTAAGTAGATGAGACCCAATTTCAGCAGCGTGCAGCCAAGCATTAGTCACTTTGTTAACAGACACGGGGAGTTATGTAGCTGAGCTGCAAAAGCTCATCCTCTGAAGCAGGAGCAAGTGAAGATTTGGTGGTG